CTGCAGATGGGAGATGAAACTCTGACAGTTACTCTGAGTGTACAGTACATCACATACTTCTCAGATAATAATTAACATAATTACAGTAATTTAAATTGGAAGACCTTATATATGTTAAATAATGTTGCACAATAGCAATTCCTCCACAATTGCTTCTTGTGGAAATAAAATTTAAAGTATTTTTCTTATTTGATGATATTTTAACTGTTGTTTGATACTGCAACTTTGGATTTCACTAATAAGAAAGGTTTCAAATTTCATTTATAAATTTAAAAAAAAATTGAGAAAATCAATTTCAGTTTATTGTTTAAATAAGTTATTTTGTAATGATTCCATGTAAAATTTAAATTTGCTGTACACACAGTTCATTCATATATAAATTTGTTGTGTGCATATTCATTAAAATTCTAAAAATATTATTGATAATAGTACTTTCTTAAGTGAAATACACAACAGATCAACTCACATTAAGGCCCACCAGTGGTTAAGCGGTTCCTTTCCCTGAACACTGGGAGTTCAGTAGGGTAGTGGGTTCACATCTCGCCAGGACAGGCTGGCCACATGGAGTCTTTTGGGTTTTCTCCATGCCTAACGCCTGAATAGGGGCTAGTTACCCTTAAAAATACCTGTCGGAAGGCATCCCCCTAGGCATATTGCCCAAGTGTTGCACTGCAGTAACTTAATAAACAAACAAACAGACTTGCATTAAAATTATGTATTGTAAGAGATATTTAAACATTAAACAAATAATAAGTTTAACGAGGAATAATTCATAAGCTTATCAGTGGAGAACAAACATAAATTAATTTTAAAGTATCATATAGAGGAATTGATTCAACATATTGGTAATAAAAAACGATATAATAGAGACTTTATCTTTGAAATATTTTATATTTTATTAGTGTTTAATGTTAATTATGTGGTATTAAGATACATAACTCATTATGAGTTTCACTAATTTCTATATTAACATTATAACTATAGTAATAGCTTTTATATATTGATAGAAACTGAAAAATATAGTATTGTATACGGAATTAAATATTTAAATTTCGCAAATACAATCGACCCCCCTATAATTACGGTCCCTATAATTACGATTCCTANGTGACACGCAACTGAGAAAAATTTCAGGATGGGATAGGTTAATATATTTTTTCGTACATAATCAGTTATCCGAACAACCCCAGTCCCCAATTGATTCAGATAAATGACGTTCTACTGTATACATTTATTGGTCAACTTCTAATTCTGATGTTTGATACTGGACTGTGAATAAATGTTCAATAAAATTAATGTTTTTATTTTAAAATAATTAAGTTTATAATTCTCTTGTATTTGAAGTAGAGATTATATTATAACAAAGTTAATTTAGAGAAATTCTTTTTAATATTTTTTTTGCCAGTATGATTATTGTTTTCAGTAGTACTACCAGTATCAAATATCATTGTATTTCTCTAATATTTCAAATGGTATCTCAATTCACATTTACTTTTTACCATCACAATTCCAAATAAAATATATCTTTGAGTTTTTAATTCTTTAATTGCCTAAATTCCATAGATTCTGAACTATCTCCAAGCTTTATCTGCTACTATTCTTCTTCTGATATCATTTCAATGCCTGTAATGATTTTCATGTTATTTATTTATGTTAACTGTTAATTTATTATATAAATTTATGTTTTCCTAATGTCTGATAGGTATAATATCTTTTGATATTTTTAAACTTTGTTTTTCATTCTTAATTATGTCTTCTATAAATTATTATTATTTGAATTATTTATTGCTGTTGCTACTACCTCCAAAATCTTTCTTATTATATAACAAATTAATATACTTAATAACACATTCTTCATTGTAAAACTTTAAATCTTTTCTACTAGGTAAATGGATTCTAGACACTAAAATGCACAAATTTTAGTTTTTATATAGCCAAAATTAAGCAATATTTAAACGTTTCTTAATGCTAAAAGTTTATACTGTTATTGTGCATTGCTTTTTTTCTCTTAGTTATATTAAACTTTTGTGATAATCTACCAAGTTATTTAAATTTTAGGGCTTATCACACCAGTGAATATGATATTACAAACAAAAGTAGTTTATTTTATATCTAAATTTTACAATAGAATAAAATCAATTAATCATTCAATCATTGTAAACTTATTCTATAATAAAATTTAGAGATAAAATAACCTAATCTGTTTTTTATTGTAGTTTATCACAAAAATTTATACTCTTGCTAACATATATTCTGTAAACTTTTTTATCTGTACTTTTGTTTACAATTGGAACTTAGACCATTCTAATTTGTAATAGTCTAAGAAATTCCATATGAAAATGGAATTTTTTCATTATTATTATTTTTATTTTCTCTGTATTTCATCATAATAATACTTAGACAATTTAAAGAAAATAATTGATAAAATATATCTATACAGTTACATATGTAAAATAATGTGGTAATAAGTGGAAGATTAAATGAAAATATTTAAAACAATAAATCTCTAAATGAAATATGGTTACTTATTAATGCTATGATAATGATTGTACTATCAGGCAATCATAATTAAAGTATTCCTCTTCAACATGATCTAGAGAGATATTTTGTAATCCAAATGCAACCATATTTGGTACAGTGATATTTAAGATATGGAAGATATCTCCTACAAAAAAAAATTAGTTCCAAAACTCACCACTATGGCATTTTTAGGCTATAAGCAACAGGTATTTTATTTGTACAGTACAAGACATTTGTGATATACAGTAATACCTCGACTTACGCTATCCCGACTTACGCAAACCCGGAGTTACATGATTTTCAAATCTCGTCGATTTGTCTTTTGTTTGAGCGCCAAGCAACCCTTGATTACTCACTCCCCCCCCACACTATTGTTCAGCTTATATGTTCGGACATGTCGTGCAGAATCGATGCATAGCTACAATTTATTTTGTGTTATTTATTTCTGTGTTTGTTATATCTACAGAGACTTGAGAGACTGTATGTGGTGATTTCTTGTAACCGTAAACGAATCAAAAGACGATATAAGATTAATGAGAACATTTATTAGCTTACATACATCCGACTTGGATTTTACACAAATTGTGAAATTATACCCCGACTTATGCGAATTCGACTTACGCGGTTATCGCTCGGTCCCACCTATTGCGTAAGTTTGGGGTATTACTGTATATAGAGAGATCTTAGCAATACAAGGGATACTTTATATGCTCCTTGTATCACTAAGATTTATAACTGATACTCTGTGATGCTTCTCACATGCAGTGTGATACTGTCTTGAAAGACAGTATCACACTGCATGTGCACACTTTCAAGGCTGCCAAATTTTTAAATATGCCCTGGATAAACTGCACTTTTTAAGTGCTCCCATAACTAAAAAGCACATGAATCCAAAGTGCTAAAATTGCCACAGTGGAGAGTTTTGTTACTAATTAATGTTTTGATGGAAAAATCTTTCGCATGTCCTAGAATTTCATCATACCAAATTTGGGTGAATTTTGACTGCTAAATATCTCTCTAGAAAGCATTAAATAGGAATACTTTAATTACAGTCATTTAGTAAATAGTGAATTGATTCAATTATGCTTTACATAGAATACAATTGAAGATAGCAGCATAACACTATAAAAGATATTAAGCTGCTATCTTCAAAATAATATAATGATAGTTTTACATTATTTAATGGATATTTAGTAATACATTTTAATAAATATCATTTGGAAATCTGTAAATAGTTTAAATAATTTATCAACTTTCTGATTAATGTTTTGTATATTTTGTTTCGTAATGAAAATATACATACTTTAATATTTATCCTAGCACAAAAGAAATCTTTAAGCATTGAACAAACATATGCATATGATGCTTTAGTTTCACATCAAAGTTTAGAGTAAAATAAATAAATTCATCTCAAAAAATGTCATGTGTAAATCATGCTGTAGTTCAAAGGCAATATGTAAATTTTCCAAATATAAAACAAGATACATATTAAATATCTGATCTGCTATCAATGGTTCTTAGTTCATCACTGGCACCTAGACTAATGACTGCTATCCTAATATATTCTTATAAATATCTTAATAGCCTATGTAAAATGTTGGACTTGTTGAAGTAACAATGGCAGGTTTGGTAGAAGCAGGATTGTCTGCAAGCTCATTCCCAGGCAGATGTGTGTCACTGGCTCAGAGAGCAGTTTGTCAACTAATGAACAGAACAACACAGTTTTGTTCCATGGCCACCACCCAGATTTGACCCCACTGGATTTTTTCCTGTGAAGTCACCTAAAAGTATTAGTTTATGATGTGTACCCAGCAGTACTGCATGATTTTGGCAAAGTGCAGAAGTGAATACAAGAGGCTTTTAGGATGAGATGCCAGGTATGCTACATGTTACCCATAGCACTACTATCAACTTTCTACACTATTGTATTGCTACTGAAGCAGTTATTCTGAACATTCACTATAACAAAATAAAGCTAACTGTTTTTATATTTACTTATGCAATATTGGTTTTTATTCTTTATAGTCAAAGATTCTTTATATGTTATGATAAATATCCTTAAAATGATTCTTTTCCATTAGCCTTGCACTTGGGAGAGATGAGAAAATTTATGTATTGCATCAGAAGTACCACATAATTTACACACATTCCTATTTTGAAAGAATTAATCTATTTTACTATAAGTATTACAATGGAACTAATACATCATATACATTTGTGCAATGCTGAAAATATCTTTTTCGTGCTTGGACAAATGTTAAAGTGAGCATCCTGTATACTGAATATATTAGGCAAATTACTTAATTAACATAATAAATAACATTTTTTGATGCATTTTATCACAGAACCACACACTAAAGATATACATTTTTTTAACTTTTGAAATATTATCCTTTTATTATTTTAATTTTACATTTGTTACAAAAACAGAAAAGTAAATACTACAAAAACAATTTACTTGTGAAATTTTATAATTTCAGCATTGGATAAAGATCAGCATCCTCACACATTATTTATTACTCATGATAGTTTGGAAGAATGGTCAACATCCCAGAAATTTGCCAGAGCACTTGGACTAACTTTTGCTTATGCTGCATCACATGCTCAACTTTTATATGGGGTAAATGATAAATAACAATATGAGTATAATAACTTTTTAATGCTTTCCAGTTCATACTAGAAGAGTTTCCTGTAATAAGTTGAATATTTTCCAAAATCTTAGTCATTAACACAGATTTTCTATGACTGTATGCAACAAATGTAAAGATATACCTCAACTTACAATCCTTCAACATACAACTATTCAAAGTTATGATGGTCTTCCCTTAAAGCATTCATAATAGCCACATTTGTATCTTGAATACAAGATACAAATGATTGAAACAAAATAAAGCAAGCCATATAACTTTACACATAGCCTCAGATTCTCTACAGTACACTTCAAACTAGCTATAATAAATGGCATTGATTAGAGTTTATAGTCACTTTAGTGTAAAAATGTTTCATGGTATGATACTTCTGCAGTGGTCATGTAATCTTTTACCTCTGGCATCATGCTTTTGTTTGTGTATGTTGTGTCAAAAAAGGTCCATTGTAAGTTGAGGCATAAGTAATTAAAAATTTCAAGACATATAATTTAAATTGTTTCTTGCCATAGATCTATTAGTGGTTAATAGATTTTTATCAGTTAAGAATTATTATTTTTAATAAGAGTCATTCAATTATTAAAATTTAAAATATTAAAATCTTCTCTTTTATATGTAGAAATTTAAATTTTATAATTATTTCTCCAGTGAGGGATCATTAATGCTGTAACACAACTATAGAAAATTTTTTGTTTACAACATTTATTACCGATATACATTGATAGCTTCTATAGTTTGAGCTAACCATTTGAATAAATACTCTCTATTCTGGACATGTTGGTTGCTTATTTAAATGCAGGTTGACCATAATTAAAGTTTCACTATTCAGAATACACTGTAGCTGTAACCAATAAGTGGATTGACACCAACATTTGTATACCGATTATATACAAAGGATGCAGAAAAGGATTTTGCAAACAAAAATTAGTTCAAAAACTTCTTATAGGGGAAAATACATGAAATAAAATAACAAATCACATTGATTTTTCCATAAGGGATATACCTTCTGCACAGGTTGTTTACTGATGTAAGGAATGTTGCTCTATGTGTGACCCATTGTTCAGGTATAAAATTTGAAGGCAATGAGCAGCTGATTTTATTTGTAATATTTAAAATAACAGATTAAATGTCAATTTAAGATTGTTTTTTGTTATTTACAGTGTTTTGTTTTGTAAATTTTCCTGTAACTCACCTAATGGAAGTTTTTGAACTAAACCCTTTTCTTTTTGTAAAATCCTTTTCTGCATCCTTTGCATAGTCTGCATTAAAATTTTGGTATCAATTCTTCTATTGGTTACAGATGCAGAGTGCTTTGAATAGGAAAACTTTAATTACGGACATCCTGTAGATCATAAAGGACTGAAAAGCATTAAAAGTTTGATGTTTCTAATGATTATTAAATTAGTTAAATTCTATACACAAGATATCCTTTCCACTTTTAACTTAATAATGATAAATTTATTTTAGGAAAATGTTAAAGAACTTCCAACGCCTATAGTTATTCAGTCTGTCTGGGTAGACAACGGATGTCTGGGATTTTTATCGTTTCAACTGAATACTTTAGATTTAAATAGTAAAGACGGAATTAAAAATCAGCTGTATCAAGCCGGTCCTTTTAATCTGTATGATGAAAGCAATTTAAAAAATGGTCTGAGTGGTTTTAATAGTGAAGCTTTTGTGAAAATGTTAGCTATGTATATGAATGGAATGTGATTTTAGAAATAAATTATTTATGATAATTTTAATTTTTTAATTCAAAATTACAGTTTAGAGTTAGATAAATCTGGATAGAAGATGATTCGGAATCAATTAATTTAGAAGCTTGTAAATCCAGATTTTATAATGGCATTATTTAACTTGTTATTTGTAAATCATTCAACAATTGAATCACTGTTTACACTTAGAATAAAATTTTATTTAAAACAGTTGATATTTATTAAAATTTGTTTTAAATTTCGAAATGTAATAAATTAAATCCAACTATTTATTTCTCATCTTCAGTAATCTTTAAAACTAGATCAGAACATTGTTAACACCAACATTTTTTTAAAATACTAAAGTAGCAATTACAAGGGTTATTTTTTTTTCAATCTCCACCGACCCAGAAGAACAAGAATGAAGAACAAAACCACTTTATTTGTAGAAGGTAGTTACAGTCTTCACCTATTTTTCCATATAATTGCCTTGTCAATTCAGACAGACATCATACAGTGACACCAGTGACATGAGTATACAGCTTTTGTATACTCATGTCGAAGAACGTTGCCGCCAGGCCATTCAACCAACCTTTTAACACTGTCAGTCAGCAGTATACAGTGTGGACCTTTAAATTTGAAGAAACTCCTCACTGAGTTCAGAAATCATGAACCGATACCTTTCTCGCACCAATTGATCCACTTCGTCCACCAAATCATCATTCATCACACACTTCCTCCCTTGACCACCCTCATCATGATGTTGTCATGTCCTTGTTTGAATTTCCTGCACCATTTATGCACACATCTGTAGCTCATGAGGTTCTCACCATACACATTACACATCCTTTGATGAATTTTACCTCCATTCAGCCCTTTGGCCTGTAGAAATAGAATTACTGCTTGTACTTCACAGTTGGCAGGAGACTGGATTGGCAGCATAATGTTTACTGCAGAGTAGCAAATGTCTAAAATAGCTTGACACAACGCTAAGTGGTGAGGGAATATACTACTACTAGGTGTGCACCCTATCCCTGTCTCACATGTTTCCAATTTTTTTTCATGCATTAGTGTAATAATATCAAAATTAATTACAGATGTTATAACTGTTGATAATTATTATATTATATATAAATTAAAAATAACAATTATTTGCATTATTTTCAATGTTTATGTATTATGCAATTGTTGAAAATGATATTTTTAATACTAAGAATCAACAAATTTAATTCACTCTTGGATGAAAGCAGACAAATTTATCAAATTGATGTTTTTTATATCTAAACATGATTTTCATATATTTCTCCACTGCTATTACCACATTTCACTTATTTGTGAAATACAGTCCTCCGAAAAGAATGATACCATTTTTAGTTATTGTAATTATGTTAATTATTATCTGAGAATGTTATAATTTACATTAAAATATTAGAAAACTGTCCAAGTTTCACATTTGCCATTACAATTTCTCAATGTGTGTACCTCATATCACACAGCACACGTCTGACTGATGCTCAAATTCTTCGTACACTTGCTACAACACCATTGTTACTCCTCCCACAGTAGCAATAATTCTATAGCTCATGTAGATTATTCTTATTGCACAATGACAAGTGATTTTGATTTTGCAAACTGCCGAATACAAAATGCATTCTATGTTGCGGAGTCACCATTTTTTGTTTATGGTATTTCCTAGACATAGTAGATAACGGGACATTTGAATGCAGATGGGAGATGAAACTCTGACAGTTACTCTGAGTGTACAGTACATCACATACTTCTCAGATAATAATTAACATAATTACAGTAATTTAAATTGGAAGACCTTATATATGTTAAATAATGTTGCACAATAGCAATTCCTCCACAATTGCTTCTTGTGGAAATAAAATTTAAAGTATTTTTCTTATTTGATGATATTTTAACTGTTGTTTGATACTGCAACTTTGGATTTCACTAATAAGAAAGGTTTCAAATTTCATTTATAAATTTAAAAAAAAATTGAGAAAATCAATTTCAGTTTATTGTTTAAATAAGTTATTTTGTAATGATTCCATGTAAAATTTAAATTTGCTGTACACACAGTTCATTCATATATAAATTTGTTGTGTGCATATTCATTAAAATTCTAAAAATATTATTGATAATAGTACTTTCTTAAGTGAAATACACAACGGATCAACTCACATTAAGGTCCGCCAGTGGTTAAGCGGTTCCTTTCCCTGAACACTGACAGTTCGGTAGGGTAGTGGGTTCACATCTCGCCAGGACAGTCTGGCCACATGGAGTTTTTTGGGTTTTCTCCATGTCTAATGCCTGAATAGTGGCTAGTTACCCTGAAAAAGACCTGTCGGAAGGCATCCCCCTAGGCATATTGCCCAAGTGTTGCGCTGCATTAACTTAATAAACAAACAGACTTGCATTATAATTATGTATTGTAAGAGATATTTAAACATTAAACAAATAATAAGTTTAACGAGGAATAATTCATAAGCTTATCAGTGGAGAACAAGCATAAATTAATTTTAAAGTATCATATAGAGGAATTGATTCAACATATTGGTAATAAAAAACGATATAATGGAGACTTTATCTTTGAAATATTTTATATTTTATTAGTGTTTAATGTTAATTATGTGGTATTAAGATACATAACTCATTATGAGTTTCACTAATTTCTATATTAACATTATAACTATAGTAATAGCTTTTATATATTGATAGAAACTGAAAAATATAGTATTGTATACGGAATTAAATATTTAAATTTCGCAAATACAATCGACCCCCCTATAATTACGGTCCCTATAATTACGATTCCTATAAAACTACGAAAAAATATACGTATTTTGGAAATGTTGAGTCGGATTAGTGTAGAATCGATTAATTTTATGGAAGAAAACCTTTCAATCAGCCGTAGTCCGTAAACTTGACACGTGTCAGGCTGTGATTGGAACGACTTGTAAGAAATCGGATTCCTAATAAATTGGAACGTATCTATATCTTATAGAAGGGTCGACTGTAGATTACTTTATTTGAAATATTTTACTCTCTGTGAGAAAATTTATGTACAAAATGCAGTAACAGGTTTTTTTGGTTTCTTCAATAAGAATTTATTGAAGGAAACCAAATTGAATTTTCTTACTAAAAATTTTTTTAGTGCTGAAATTTTGGAAAAAACTGCACAAAAGTGAAATATGATTAGACTACTAATTGCTTTAATTTAGGTAATTAACAAAGCACTCATCTGTGAAATATTCTGTAACAACAGAAATAATATAATTTTGTAAGCACATGTTGCAAGCATTAATTATTGTCAAAATTTAAAGTTAAAAGAAAACTTAAACATATATTTTTGTATAAACTAGACTTATGTGGCCGGAGTGGTACCAGATTATTGGAAATTTTTGTATTTTCTCAAAATTCCATGAGTTATATGTAATTGGAACATTGTAGTAGACAATGGCTGTACTTGCTGCTGTATGCTTCTGAAAGGGGAGGTTACAACGTGGTATTCTCCTTTTCAATAATACTGTTTGGTTTTTCAAATCAATACAATTTTACATAAAANTGGAATCGAGAATCTTAATTTTTTCCGGATCGTTTATTCCGATTACGTGGCACGAATTTCATTGAAATATAAGAAAACCTAATTGGGCATTTTTTATTTGGATTATATTATGTATATATATATTTTTTTAATTATTTCAATCCTAAGTTTTTATTATACATTTGTAATAAAACTCGAGAAATTACAAATTTCCGAGCAGAAGCTATTACTTCTTGTGTGAAAAACATTTTTCACTGCATATGTATGCAGTAAAAATGCAAATATACGATCATAATATATACGCAAAACATTTATATTATGATAGCAATTATTCAAAAAAAGTTTTTACTAAAATAATAATTTATAATTATTATTTGTCATTTTATTACGAAACAACATTAATTAATAGCATACCTGATAAGCGAATGGTCTAGCAATCGCTTTCCAGCTGAACTTTGTATCTCCGCACTTCAACATAAATGTAACAGGACGAACGGCAAAAATGGAGAAATCCACGGCCAGGAAACGATCGTAGGTGATAGAGTACACGTCTAAGGTTACATCCGCTTCCTAATCTCAGAAAAATTTTACGTTTCAAATTATTTTATTGTAAAAATAAAAGCAGATATTTTGATTCGCTGATTCTGTATCTTACAGCGTTTGAACATCAAATGCCTTCACTTACAGTTAATAAAGATTATTGATAAAAAATATTAATAAGTCATTCTCATACGTTTAATTCGAAAATACTAAAACATTTCAGTGAACATATAATTTGGCTTACGAGTTTCATCAAAACTTAAGTTATTAATTGCCATAATCTAACTTCTTCTTAAATTATTAACGTCGTTAACGTAAATATTAACTCTTCAAATTTAAATTTATCTGATAACTTAACCAGTTATTTAAATTTTAGGGCTTATCACAGCAGTGAATATGATATTACAAACAAAAGTAGTTTATTTTATATCTAAATTTTACAATAGAATAAAATCAATTAATCATTCAATCATTGTAAACTTATTCTATAATAAAATTTAGAGATAAAATAACCTAATCTGTTTTTTATTGTAGTTTATCACAAAAATTTATACTCTTGCTAACATATATTCTGTAAACTTTTTTATCTGTACTTTTGTTTACAATTGGAACTTAGACCATTCTAATTTGTAATAGTCTAAGAAATTCCATATGAAAATGGAATTTTTTCATTATTATTATTTTTATTTTCTCTGTATTTCATCATAATAATACTTAGACAATTTAAAGAAAATAATTGATAAAATATATCTATACAGTTACATATGTAAAATAATGTGGTAATAAGTGGAAGAGTAAATGAAAATATTTAAAACAATAAATCTCTAAATGAAATATGGTTACTTATTAATGCTATGATAATGATTGTACTATCAGGCAATCATAATTAAAGTATTCCTCTTCAACATGATCTAGAGAGATATTTTGTAATCCAAATGCAACCATATTTGGTACAGTGATATTTAAGATATGGAAGATATCTCCTACAAAAAAAAATTAGTTCCAAAACTCACCACTATGGCATTTTTAGGCTATAAGCAACAGGTATTTTATTTGTACAGTACAAGACATTTGTGATATACAGTAATACCTCGACTTACGCTATCCCGACTTACGCAAACCCGGAGTTACATGATTTTCAAATCTCGTCGATTTGTCT